GGGTCTGTTGTGACTTCGCCTTTTTCATTCTTAATTGCATGGATTTGAGCCTTTTCTTTCCTTTTTTTTGATAAGGTTGGCTAAAGGTTTATCAATTTTATTTATTCTTTTGAAAAACCAACTTTTGATTCATTGATTTCTTTGTATTGTTCTCCTAGTTTCCATTGCATTGATTTCTGCTGTGATCTTTATAATTTCCTCTCTTGTATGAACTTTGGTTTGTTATGCTCTTCTGTTTCTAGGAGCTTGAGGTTCTGCATTAGGTTGTTTATTTGAGCTCACTCTGTTTTCCTAATATGGACATTCACTGGTATGAATCTCCCTCATAGAACTTCTTTGTTTCCCATAGATTCCTCTAAGTTGTATTGGTATTATCATTTACTTATAGAAACTGTCTAATTTCTTCTTTAATTTCCTCTGTGACCCATTGATTATTCAGGAGAGTGTTATTCAATTTCCATGTGTTTGTGGGGGATTTTGTGGTTTCTTATGCTATTGATCTCCAATTTTATTGCACAATGGTCTGATAATATACAGGGGGTAACATCAATTCTTTTGCATTTACTTGATCATGTCCTATGAGCTAGCATATGGTCTATTTTGGAGAATTACCTGCATGCCGCTGAAAAAAATGTACATTCTGATTTTGTGGAATGGAACACTCTGTAAATATCTATTAAGTCCATTGCTTCAAAAGCATGGTTCACTTCTAGAATTTTGTTGTTGATTTCTTGTCTAGATGATCTGTCTATTTGTGACATGGGGTATTGAGGTCCTCCACTATAATTAAATTAGTGCTTATTTGGTTTTTCATGTGCATTAATATTTGTTTTCTATGGTTGCGGGCAATTGTATTTGGTGCATATATATTTATCATTGTCATCTCTTCCTCTTGGATTGCTCCCTTCACAAGAATGCAATGACCATCTTTGTCTCTCTTAATTAGTTTTGGTTTGAAATCTATTTTGTCTGTGAATAAGATTGCTACCCCTGCTTTTTTCTGAGTTCCTGCTGCGTGGAGAACTGTTTTCCATCCTTTTACTTTCAGTCTATGAATGTCTTTTTGCATTAGGTGTGTTTCTTGTGTACAGCATATTGCTGGATTTTGCTTCTTAATCCATTTGCCAGTCTATTTCTTTAGATTGGTGAATTGAGGCCATTAACATTGATGATTATAATTGATAAATATTGATTCATCCTTGTTGTGATGTTTTACTATTGTTGGGTCTTTTATTCTTTATTTTCCCCCTTTCCCTTCAGTTTCTTGCCTTACTTGTTGGCTCCTTTCTGTTGGAGTTGTGATCTTTATTGTCTTTTTCTAGGATATTGTTTAGAATTGTTTGAAGTGCTGGTTTGGTGTTCATGAAATTTCTCAGGTGTTCTTTGTCATGGAAGTATCTAATTTCCCCATCAATTTTGAAAGATAATTTTGTAGGGTACAACAGTCTAGGTTGGAAATTATTTTCTTTTAGGGCTTGAAATACTTCACTCCAGGTTCTCCTTAACTTGAGGGTTTGTGCTGAGAAGTCTGCCGTGATTCTGATGGGCTTTCCTTTGTAGGTGATTTGCTTCTTTTCTCTAACTGCTTGTAGTATCTTGTTCTTCTGTTGCATTTCTGGGATCTTGACTATTATATGTCTAAGTGTAGTTTTTTTTAATCATGGCTAGTTGGAGTTTTATGCTTCACTTATCTGTATGTCCAATTCTCTACCTCTGTCTGGGAAGTTTTCCACTATAACTTCTTTGAACAGTTTCTTTATGTCAAATACTTTTCCTGCTTTTTCGTGGACTCCTATCAGTTATGTTATTCTTCTTTGCATCATCTAGCTGCTGGATTGGTTTCTTTTGGTCCCTTACTATTTTTAAGAAATCTCTGTTTTCATGGTCACTAACCACAATCCTGTTTTCTATGTCTGATATTCTATCTTCACATTCACTGAATCTGCTGTGAATACTTTCAATGGAGTTTTTAATCTCCTGGATATCTGTTTGAATCTGTTTCATGGATTCCATTTCTTTACTATGTTGGGCAATCATGGTTTCCATTTCTTTCTTATGCTGGGCATTCATGGATTCCAGCATGGTTCTGAGCTCATCTATTTTTTTTTATCTGTTTCTGTTCTAGAGCCTCTAATCATTTCTTTCACTCTGCTCACCATCTCTGTAGTTAGTTATCTGGGAAATTATTTATGTTTTGAATTGTTCTACAGCCTAATTCATCTGTTTTGTTACTTCCTGTGGTATCAATTCAGGGCATCCAGGTGGTTGGTTATCATATTTTTCCACCTGTTTTCCCCCAGAATTTGCCTTTGGTGAGCTGGAAGTCTGTATTTGCATGGTGCCAAGGTGTCTTCTCATTTTTAATTCTGTTGTTGGTGCTGTTTTTTGCTTTAATTCCTGGGCTGATACTCCAATATTTCTTATTTTGAGTATCTTTATTACTGGTGTTTAGAGCCCCTATGGAGTGATTCCTTCTTAGAGATATCTTCCAGGTATAGCTGGACTTTTCATGCTTTAGTCTCTAATGCCTCTTAGGCAATCTGGTTTTCAGTATACCAGGGAGGACAACTGATTAGATCAATCACAACACCTTAGCCTAATTGACACAATCAGCACAAAACACAGCTTAGAAAATGACAATTTGTTGTAGTAGTTAATCTGTCACCTTTAACCACATGAGCTAGATCATAATCTAGGGCTAGCCCAAAATATGTTTGTACTAAGTAAACCCTTCAATATGGCAAATTTACCCTTCAGGATAAGGATTTAGCTGGCATTGGGGGGAGGGGGGGAGGTAGAGAGATAGAGGGAGAGGGAAAGGTTAGAAGTGAGGCTACAGGACACGGGAATATCATGCAAATTGTGGGGATCTGTTGAAGACAGGAGGAAAAGACAGAGCAAAAGAACAGAGACAAGTACAGACCAAATTGACAACAATAGGGAAGGTAGAAATTGTATTCACCTTCCTATAATAATGACAGTCACGAGGACAGAGAAAGAGAAAAAATTCAGAATGGGACAGGAACAGGAAAAAAGAGGGAGAGAAATATAGAGCCAGAAGGAATAGAGAGAGAAAAACAGAAAAGGAGACATACATATATATATATATATATATATCAAAACAAACAAACAAAAATATGGTCTTCCTCAGGATATGTCTCTGCTGTCCTGGTAGATAATGTGGGCAGCAGTGTGTGGGTCTTAGTCAATTAGTCTCAGCATGCCAGTGGTAGCCTACTGAGATTCAGGCTGATTTCTGGCTGCAAGGTCCAAGTTGAGGTCCCTGACCTTCTGCAGGATTGAACTCTGCAAGGTTCTACTGCAGGTTCCAGCTGTCCTCCCTGCTTAGTGAGTCTTGGTTTCAATGGGAGATGCTGATCCTACCAACTTACCAACCATGATGGTCCAGTGTGCTTTTATCGAAGAGTTTTTCTTCACTTTCCCAGTGGGCTTCAATTTTCATCGAGGCGTGTCAAAAAAGCCCTCTCTGTTGTTCACTTCTGCTCTATCTTCTGGGGCTCATAACCATGGCTTTTCAGAACTTCCTGTAGCCTCTGCTGTGTGGATTCAGATGCCATGCAGCAGGGAGTGTCCGCGCAGCAGGGCCTGGTGGGGCATGGGCTGCTGGTGTCTGCAGGACCGGGTTCCAGCCCGCTAAGGAGGACTTGTTTTATTTTCTAAATAAGTTATTTGATTTGTCTTTGTTCCCACTGTTTGCTTTTAATTAGGTGAAGAAACATTTCCAAATTTTAAAACCTAAAAAATATTTCCAAATTTGATAGTTAAGTTCAAAATGACTGTATAGTATTTCTTCTGCTTTTCTTTTCCATTTGCATTTCAAGACCAGCTCAGTCACCTTTCTACTTCAAGTCAGAAGGTAGAGCTGGATTTCTTAGCAGTGTGTTATTACCTGTGAAGTCTCAAGGATTCTTTTTAGTTTGCACTGACTTAACAGATATTTTTCTGTCTTGTTCTACATGCATTCTTTACAGCACATAGAATACTAAGCAAGCCTTGCTGAAAAGACCCCTCTTGTTGGAAAGAGACTGTATGCCAGAAAGTTCATCTGACTTACATAGCAGAAACCAGAAGGCCAATGCCCACCTTGGCAAGTGCTAGCGAGTATTAATATGGTGGCTGCTGGCCAAGGGTAACTGCCTGACAGAGCACTGGTGTGTTATCGACTTCTACTGCACTCAAACAAAGGGCAATATTTACAGTTCATGAAGCATTTAGAGAAATAAATAGTACAAATCTTCTAAGTATCTCTCTTCTAAATGAAGAGAGGAGAAACACAGCCTTTCAAACTGTTATACCAGGAATCGTCACATACTATGTATGCTCAATATCCATAAATTCTGCTGCAGTTAATGTTTTACACTCTTCCTGTGCATTGTTTCCTCCCCAGAACACTTGAAAGATAAGCTGGAGGAATACATGGCTCGATTTTCCAAAGTGAGAATTCTTCGCACCAAGAAAAGGGAAGGACTCATCCGGACCCGACTCCTGGGGGCATCTATGGCCAGAGGAGAGGTGCTAACGTTCCTGGACTCCCACTGCGAGGTCAATGTGAACTGGCTGCCCCCACTCCTCAGTGAGTACTCGAAGTTACCACGACACACTGGGAACCAGGGCTTCTGAGGGAATTGTGGTCCTCTAGAAGGAAGGCAGGTTTACTTCTGTTTAAACTGCAGACAATAAAAGCTAGAGACACCTTCTATATTTTTGCCAGTAAAATACTTGAATTAATGTATACCTTAACTATTGCTGAGAACAAATAGTTAACTAGAAAGCAGCATTAAAATTGCCATTTTAGATACTACCAGCTGCAATCAAATTTAAGTTTTAAACAGCTTCTTTTGTTTTAGATATCTTCCTTTACTATAGTTATAGTCATTGAATAACTCCTGCAAGAAAAAAATACTCCCAAACTTTTTTATAGTCATCTTTTAGTTGCAATAAAATTAAAATACACACACATTCACATTTTAACAATTATTACATGTTAAAAAGGAGGAAAGAAGATTGTCCAGCCCCAGAATCTAAAGAATGGGCACTTTGACACGTTCTTTGATTTTTTTTTTTTTTTTTTTTTGAGATGGGGTCTCTCTGTGTAGTCCAGGCCAGGCTTGAATTCACTCCATAGTCCAAGCTGGTTATCATATTTTTCCACCTGTTTTCCCCCAGAATTTGCCTTTGGTGAGCTGGAAGTCTGTGTTTGTGT